GTCCTCTCATTGGGGGCAAATACAATATTCATTTCTCTGCTTGTCATTCACGGTGGCTTCAGGTGTCTGCCTGCCCCTCCCGTTCCTCTCTTCCCAGGTGACAAGGCATCCTGCCTTTTCTGTCTAGTCCAAAGAAGTGTTAGTGCCAGCCACTTTAGCTTGTAAGGAGGCCCTGGACAATTGCCTTCCCTCTCTGGGCCTCGGTCTCCCCATGTGTGCAATGAGTGGGCCTCTTTTGCTCCAGCTCTGAGTGATCTGGCTTTTTACAGGGGATGACCAGCCATACCTGGGCATCAAAGGGACTGCTCAGGTCTTCACACTCCAGTGCCCACTGGTGACAAAGACGCATGCTGACCTCAGGGCCTGGAGGAATGGTCACCCGAATAGCCCGTGCCTCAGGCAACAAATCAAAGGAGAACTCAGGCCCTGGGGAGAGGAGGGACTTGGTAGCCTTGTCTCATGGCCTTAGCACAGGTATTGCTACTCAGCGGAACCCATCTCCTGTCCTACCCTATGCCTACCTCTATGCATTTGTGTGTCCAGTCTGGGGAGCATTTCCACTGCCTCTGGATCCGAAGGTTGGGTCCTTTTGGTGCGCAGCCCCTTGTGGGAGATGTCTGGGGAGGGGATGGAAGTACGATGGCTCTTCCCAGACAGGCAACAGATACCCAGCAGCTTCCTCTGTAGGCAGAGAACAAGGCTGGCCTTAAGCCAGGAATCAGGAAATCTGGTCTATGGCCATACTACCCTGAACGTGCCAGATCTCATCTGACCTCGGAAGCTAAGCAGGGTCGGGTCTCGTTAGTATTTGGATGGGAGGAAATCTGGCTTCTGTTTCTACCTCTGGAACCTGAGGTACCACAAACAAGTAAGTTGTTCAGCCTCTTTCAGCCTCAGTTTCCCTAACTGTGTAATGGACAGGATAGTCTACTTCATCTCCACACTTTCCATCTCGCTCACATGACTGGAGAGCAAAATGAGAAGCGAGAAAGAAAAGGGCTGTGAACCATAGGGTAGGGCTGGAGTGGCAGGGAGAGTACCTGAGCAGATGCTGGCATCTTGTGTCTCCTACAGAACTTGAACGTGGAAGGCTTTGTGGATTTCTGCACGAGGAGGTGGAAGCAGCCCCGCTGAAGGCCTGCACAGGGGAGGACACACTTACTATCCAGCCCTTCATTGCTCCTCCCCTGCCTGGAGACGTGGCCCAATTTTGGATAGTAAGTCATTTTAAATAAAGGAGGGTAAGGATGTCAAGCTTCTTTAGTCCCGAAAATTACGATGCAAATTTAAAAAGGATTAATTTCTTAAGTAGATTTAAAAAAGCTATATACACAAAGATATTCATTGTAGTATTATTTCTAACAGTAAAAAATTAGAAAAAACTGCCAATTCTTAAGCAGTGTTATGGGCATTTAGTATGCACCAGGCACTGAGCTAGCCAATGAAAATTTAGAGTTGAATAAGAAAGAAGATCCTACTTTACAAATAGAAGGTAATAACAGAAAGTTTATAGAACTCAAAACTTTTAATCCCAAGAATCTTGGCTGAAAAGATTAACATCTTCACAAAATGATACAATTGCACCCATGAATATCAGTCATGGTGTGTTATTTTAGGATGCTGTAAGTCCCTGTTGAGGTTGAAACAGGACAAATATCTGTTCTGGTATGACAGATCCAACTTGCCTCAGCCTATGTGGCCCCCCAACAATGTCCCTAATTCACATCTTCACTGAGAGTGGCCCAAAGGGCTGTTTCTCATACCCGGGGGATCTGACAGCAGATGCAGGCACAGAGAGCAGGAGCAATGCCCAGCACACCGAGGCTTTGTGGAGCGGAGGGCCACCTGGGTACGGCAAGGAATACTGGCAGAAGGTCCTGCGAAAAACAGAAAGGAAAGCAAACAATAGGGTCTAAGGAGGTCCTTCCCGCCTGACACAAGTTGGATGTGAGGCTGAGCTCTGCCACTTACATCCTGGAAGTGTGACCTTGGGCAAGTTACAGGGCCTCTCTAAGTGTCAGATTCTTCATTCATAAAGTGGGCCTGTTGTAAAAGTCAAGTAAGGTAACGTGTGGGGGAATGTGGAGTGGAGTACACCGTAAAGTACAGACAAAGGATTACTGTTGTATTACTGATAGCAGTGAGCGACCGGTTGAGGGGAGGAACCAATGTTTACGGAGTGCCTGGAGATTTATCCGTGCCTCTTATTGAATCCTCCCTAGAGGTCAGAAGCAACACTGTCTTCATTGTGCAATCATTTCTGCTATGCTACTATGCTCCTCAGAAACTGAGGGCCCGGTGGAGGGGTTAACTGCCCTGTCTGAGGCCACACAGAAGTCTGTGGCAGACCCGCAGTGCAAATGCAGGCTTGTCCTAATTCCAAACTCGTACTTTTTTCTCGATACTGTGCTCCTTCCCAGGTTGGGAACTAAAAGTTAGAATGGAGAGCCTGCTGTGGTTCTGGAACAAAGGGAGAGGTTGGGGAGAGGAGTGGGGCAGGAAATGAGACTCACCGGTGAAACTGTCATCCTGAAGGCACAGGGCCCAGTAGGGAAAAGAAAGGAGAGAGTTATTATTAGTAGGGACCTCCATAAGGAGCATTCTCGCTGGGATCTTTGCCTCAAGTCTCTAATCCCGAGTAGCTGTCCACAGCTAATCGCTTATCCAATGGGCTCTGTTCTTCCCAGCTCCACTCTGCCCAGGCCCTCAGTGCACCAGGACCTTGGCTACCCCTCTGAGGACACACTGAGACTGCCACCAGAGCACAGGGACTGGGGAGGTAGCAAAGGCGGGCAGGCGAGTGGGGAGCTTTATGCCCGAGTGAGCAAGGTAGGCGTCCCTACCTGGCAGCGGCACCTTACCACGTGAGAGGCCAGCAGACGGCAGGTTCTCCAGAAAGGCAGGTGGGGACAGCCAATCCCAGCAGGGGCAGAGAGGCTGATGAGCAGCAGGAGGAGAGGCAGGAGCAGGGCTGCGAGTCTGGGGTGCCCCATGGGTTTCTGTGCGATCAGGGTGCCCAGAGCATGGCTGCACTGCCTGAAGGTGGGCGGCAGGTCTCGCTGCACAGCAGCAGGGAACACGGTACCAGCGCCGGAGCCCTCGCCTCTGCCTGCCCTGGCCCCGCCCTGCCCTGAAGCTCCTCCTCGATCCTAACCAGCCAGCCAGGCCACATTCCTTCTCCTCCAAGCGGAGGGACTGAGGGAGCCTTGTCCCCCAAAAAACCCTTCTGCCCCCTACCTGAAAGACAAGGGTTTCCTGCTACAGCAGAGAAGCAACAGGAAAGGGGCCGGCACCAGGTTGGGGACTGCACCCATTGAATAACCCCTCCTACCCCTGAGACACCCTGCGGATCTGACCCGCCCATCGACACACTCTTGAACTTGAATCTCCCATGGACATGTGCTTCATCCCCTCACTTAGAGAATTAACAGAGCTCTGTTCTGCACTGGGTGCTGGAGATAAAGAGGTGACTGAGGCACCATTTAGAGTTGGGCCAAAAAAAAAAAAAAAGGAACTAGAGGATGCACGTGAACCTCACATGCCTCTACATGTACCCTGGCTCCCCACTGGTTGACTCTCATGACTATATCCAAGCTCTCTCTACCCATCAGCCACTTCCAGCTCTTCTGGGCAAAGGGCTCCAAGGGGCCTCCAGCTTCAAGAACCGACTGATCAGTATAGCCTGCTCAGGAAGCCCCAGAGCTCATAGCTGAGCCCTGGAGCAAAGGGAGTGGGCCCCACGCACTGACCTGGTTTCCTGTGGTTTCCGGTGCTGGAGAAAGGCTGACGAGGCTCCATCTTTGTGGGAGCCCTCCCCATCATCCCACAGCTTCCTCCCCCTCATGGAGCATTTGAACTGCTTCAGCCCTTACCTTGGTGACACACACAGTGGAAAGAAAGTTTTGGGCACACCTACCAGGTTGAGACATCTTGAGATGGTTATTGTCCCTCGCGACTCTATCCAGACCACCTGTCAGTAGCCTGACCACAGCCTTCTTTTGCTCAATTTTGTGCTCAAGTCTCCAGGTTCGCCGTCTGGACGCTGTATCCTGCCCATTATCCTAAAAATATCCTCTAGCTTTTGAGCTCATTAAAAGATAAAAACCCTTTCTTATTCTTTGTTTCTCCAGTGCCTAGCAGTGGATGTCATGAAATAGGTGTTCTGTAGTTGAATAACTGTAAATTATGATACATTTCATCTAAGTAGTTTTTATCTGTTTCACACTTCACAAAGCATTTTCATATTTGATCCTCCTAACCACTTCGTGAGACCGGTAAGGGATAATTATTGTTTTTCTTTCATAAAGAAAGAGATAAGGAAGCAGAAGGGAAAGTGATTTGATCAAGGGCAAAGTCTGTAGCCCAGAGAGCTCCACTTCTGCTGGGCCCTGGCAACGGCAACTCAATTCTCCTTCTATCCTCCTATTGTCTCCCCTCCCACTGCCTCATCTGTCTCTGCTCTCAGAAACCAAAAGGATCTGCATGACACAGTATGGTCTTTTGGCCGTGGAGCCCATCTCTGCAGCACATCAGTAAGATCTGAAGGTAGGCAAGGGTGGTCTGGCCATATTAAGAATAGGTTAGGGAGCCTTCCCCCAAATTCTTCCTACCTTGTAGTGGTTTAGATCTGCAAAAATAAAGCTTTCAGATGCTGGGGGCATGAAATGAGAAACTCGGTTCTATTCTAGAACACTCCTCCTCCCTGATCTGTATCCTCTGATCTGACTCTGACAGTGAAAATATTTGGTTAATTACTCCTGACCCTGGTTAAGGTATGGTAGGACAACTCGCCAAGAAAACAATAGAGACAAGAAAGGAGGAGGAAAGAAGAGAGGAAAAGAAGAAGGGAAGGAGAGAGAAAGGGAAAAAAGGAGCGCACAGAAAAGGAAAAGGAATAAAGATGAGGGTGAAAGAAGGAGAAAAAAGAAAGTGTGTATTTTATTAATTTGTCTTGCTGGTTTACTTATTTACTGTGGAGATGGTTCCAAAACTGATTTAAGGTTAAAAAAAAAAAAGGACAGGGGTGAATTCCAGCACACCCTGGGGAAGGGAGGGGTGGGGTCAGTAGCTGCTGAAATCCTATCATCAGTGTCTGGACCATGCGCTTTGCCCACTTCATCTCATTTTATTAATTAGTACTACAGCCCTGAGATCAGTCTTATTACCCCATTTTTTAAAAACTGGGAAACACTCAGGAAAATTAGGAGACACGTCCAAACGTACTCAGCTAAGAGGAGTCAGCCCCTCACTTGCTGATCTCTGTCCTGCACGCTGGAGACCCTCCCCACCCTTGCGCACACCCCACACCGCTCCCCTCCTCAGTGCCCTGCCAGCTCAGGCAGCTCACATCACGCGAAGGTAAAGCCAGAATGAGTTTCAGGTCTGAGTGAGATAGGAAAAGCCAGTCCTCTGACCCTCTCTGCCTGCTCCCCTGTCCCCCAGGCTTCCTACCTCCAAGAAGACACCGTGAGGCATAAAAAATGTCCCTTCCAGAGCCGGCCTGAAACCTATGAGTGCTGCTCATGTACACTCTTGTGCACTATGCTCTCTCTCTGTCCCTCTCTCTCTCTTTTACACACATGCACACACACACTCATACAAACATATGCTTCACACCTGTGTTGGAGGAAACTCCCAGAAGGCGTGCAGGTACTTTCCCTAGAGTCAGTGGGGGAAAAGGGCTGCCTTGTCTACCAGTCAGCTTGCCAATAAATCAGAGAGTACCGAGTATTATAGCCGTGTGGAGGTTCAGAAATATGAGGCCCAGGTATCCTAAAGGGATGGGCCAGAAGACCTGGGTTCACATCCCAGCTCTGCTAATTATTTATTCTTCTCGGAGCCTCACTTTTCTCATCTGAGATTTGCCACTATGTCTTCCTGCTTCTTTCTGCTAGAACACACTGCTGGGGAAAGCTGTGGGAAGTCAGAGATTTCTGGACCCTGTAGTCCACAGAAGGTACTAAATTTAGCAGTGTGATATAGTTGGCAGGGTTAACAATTTATAGAAAGAAATTGGAATGGTCAGAAAGAAGAAAGCAGGCCTTATGATAGTGAGTTATCAGTGGTCGGACTTCTAGAATAGTGGGGACTGTTCAGCAAACGTCAACAAGGGAGGACTAACCCTGTGGCTAGAATAGGAGGTGACCAACTGGAGTAAAGGCGGCAATGGTGTATTGTAGGACTTCAGCACAGAGGCCCTGTCCTCTTGGAAGGTGGCTAAGGCCTCTCTCACCTGTGGTTTGTATCTAAATGAACTACCAAATGAGAGACTTCATGCTCTAATAACCTTTACCTGGGGACCCAGCAGGAGCTCAGGAGTCCTCGCAGGCCTCTGCACATGCTCAGGTACAGAGTACACAGTGGGGGCCTTGGGCAGCCATTTTTCTTGTCATAGCCTTACCGGTGTGGACTCTGTCAGATCATGAAGCAGCAGCTCCAGAATCTTCCTGCAATGGCCAATATCTAAGGTCCGTTGGGGTAACTGTGCCCACCATTAGGGCACCCTGGGAAGGAAGGTTCAACCAATTAGATCAATGTAACCCAAGAGTGGGCAACTGTCCCTTCCTTACTCTTTCTCTTCCAGAAGGGATCAAACTCTAGCATTCTGGGGCAAGAAATGATTGCTAAGAGAAGAGGAAAGGACTCCCAGTCTGAAGGAGGAAGCCAACACAGCTCATCAAAGGATGGCATTTTGATATTTATTAAACCCCTACTATATGTTAGACTGTTCATAGCATTATTTATTTAAGCCTCACATCAAGCCTGGGAGGCAGCTACCAGGATGCCCATGTGTCAGATCAAAAACAAGGGCTCAAGTATCTTGCCCAGGGCAAAAGTTAGTAAAATGCCTGACTGGAATCCCAGCCTAGGTCAGTCTAGTATCGGAAGAGGTATTCCACTATACCGCACTGCCTTTCTTACGGCCTAGGTGCTCTCTAACAGTTCCTTCAGCCCCTAAACTTTTAGTCCTGTGAAGATCAGGAAGCAATAACCATTCTTCACATTTATACAGCGATACATAGTTCACAAAGTGCTTTCACAATACTTTACCTTATTTGGTCTTCAAAGCAATCTGTGAAACAAGTAGGGTTGATCTTAGTCCTATGATTAGCAGGTGCTTTGGTACTTGAACTCCAGTCTTCTGATCCAAATATGGTGTTCCTTCTATTACATCAAGATCCAGCAAGGGGGTTGTATTTGGTTTAGGAAACACTACAACCATGAGGCAGGGAAAAATTATAGGGAAAGCCCAGAAAAGCAGAATCCCAACAACCCAACAAGCAGAAACTAACATAAACCAAATGGTTTTTGTCCTTTTTAAATTGTTGACAGTAATTTTCACCAGGTACTCTAAGATCATAAAGTCTTTAAGGTACTCTAAGACCATTCCAAAGAAATTTTAACCTTTTTTGTTTTGTTTTTTGAGACAGGGTCTCCCTCTGTCACCCTGGCTCCAATGCATTGGCCTCATCATAGCTCACTGAAACTTCAAACTCCTGGGCTCAACAGATCCTCCTGCCTCAGCCTTCTGAGTAGCTGGGACTACAGGCACAGACCAACACACCCAGCGAATTTTTCTGTATTTTGTAGAGACGGGGCCTTGCTCTTGCTCAGGCTGGTCTCGAACGCCTGGCTTCAAGCAATCCTCCCATGTTGGCCTCCAAAAGTGCTATGATTACAGGCGTGAGCCACCACGCCCGGCCTTAAACTTTTTAAAACTAATATTTGCATTCCAATTCTTTGAAAGCTAGCAGTCTGTGCCTGGTGCTCATGGTAACTCCATTACCTGTACATTTCCATCTTCCTCTCTCTGCTCTCCAAATTCTATCTCTACTTTAGTTCTATCATCTGTGACATACATCCTGACTTTAGTTTACAGTAGGGAAAATTACTTCATTCAATAAATTTAGAATGCATGCTGTGTGCTAGGTATGAGCAAGAGGTGTGGAAAAGACATGCAAAACAATAAATCTGTCAATAAAAGCAGTAAAATAAAAATTCAGAGAAAGAACTCTTGCTCCTTGAATAGCAGGAACTGGAAGGCTCCAGAATTACCATACGAACTGGGTCTTAAAGGATAAGTAATAAAGGAATGTAAAAGTCAAAAGGGGAAATTTTTGTGCAAAGGAAACTGGGAAACCATGGAGCCAATATGGGGATCCATGAGAGGTTGAGTTGACTAAGATAGGGTATGAGAGGGAGTACTGGGAGATAATGCAGAACAGGTGGATTGGGACCCCTTGGCAACCTCAGAAAGAGATTAGGACACTTAGGTTGCTACAAAAATAACAGCACATGGTAGGGACTTAATGATCACGGAATGGATGATGATCCAGAGCTGGGCTCTTGGTATACTCACTTGAACACAGGATACAGGAAGAGGAATGGGTATGAGGCAGAAAGGCAGTTAAGTTTGGGACACACTGATTTTTTTTTAGAGACAGGATCCCACTCTCTCACCCAGGCTGTAGTGCAGTGGTGGGATCATAGCTCACTGCACCCTCAAACTCCTGGGCACAAGTGATCCTTCTGCCTCAGCCTCCCAAAGTGCTGGGATTACAGGCATGACCTGCCTCGCCCAGCCAGCACATACTGATTTTGCGATGATAATCAGGACATCTAACAGAAGAGATATTGCAGTTAGAAGTACTGCCAGTACCTAACACTGTATGACTGTATGACTGTATGAGTGACTAAGTATATACACAGGTTTATAAAACGAAAGAATGACTACAACTCTGGACAGGGCAGAGCTCTGTAGTTACAGATCTGGGCATCATCCAAGGGCAATAAAGTCAAGTGTAAAGGGACACACGTCTTTCATGCAATAAATACTGTGTCGGAATTTTAGGTGTGAAAGAAAGGACCTTTAGTTTAATCACCTCTCCCACTTCTATTTTTAATTTATCACTCCACGCCGTTGGACTTACGTTCATTGGTTGTTTCACATGTATAGCACGTTTCGCCTAGATTGTAAACTCTTTACAGAGACACTTTAAAATTCTTTTGGATACCATTATATAGTAGTAGATACATAACTGACATTAACATTGACTGACGAACATGAAAATCAACTAAAAGAGCCCACAACCCAAGCTAGATAGATGAGAATGGGCCATTTTATACATGGAGAGATTACATGTCTGGCCCAAGGTAGTTCTTGCCCATCAGCTGCAGGGTGCAACTGCGGCTTAGGTTCCCCACGGCTAGTCCACTTCTTTGTGGCCACTGCCAGCTTTCTCAGGTAGCTTCTGCCTATCTCCTAGTGCCTGAGACCACTCAAACAACACACCTTTCACACTCTTTCAAGCCCCAAACACGAGACACAAGGTAGACAGGGCAGTCTTAACTTTATTGAGGTTCTTTTCAATTAAAATGCTCTGCAGAAGAGACCACAGCCTGCAGGGGAAACAGCTTTCCAAATGTTTGTTGACCCATGACCTAGAGATTGAAATAGAATTTGATTTATTCTGTTTCCTTCAGTCTCAATGGCTAAGGGGTGATGGATGGAAGTAGGGAGAATGACAAAGAGGAGGCAAGGATGGGGCTCAGGCTTAAAGAAAAACCCCAAAGGGCCTTAATTTCAACCAATTGAAGTTTGTTTCACAGCTGTTGGTCATCCAGTTCTAACCGACCAGGAATATATTAAATATAGTTTTGCCACCTCAGCAGATGGCAACACGAGGGGCTTTCCAGAACTCTGGCCTGGTCAGCATCACAGCTGCTAAAATCACCAGAAGAGATTTTAGAACAGCTCGTCTATCCCTGTCCCTTCGTTCAGTGGGAGGCCCAGGCTTCACCCCACAGAGCGGTCCATCAGGCAGGCTTCATTTACGCTTCTTCTCCTGTGTGCTGGTGAACCAAGAGTCTAGGAGCTTCTTGCTGTAGTATAATTGCCAGGCATGCACTTGGACTGCCAGCACCAATACCAGGTACATGACGGAGACAGCAGAAAATCCAAAAAGGAAGCGGTAGGCCTTGCCATGGCGGTAGAGCTGCTGTGCAGCAGGGAACATCTCCATGCTGCCATAAATGAGAGGAGCAATGGAAAAGAGCCCCATGCTGATCATGGAAAGCACCAGGTAGCTGATGTTGTTGCGGGGGAATGACAGAAGGCCCAAGAGAGAGGGCAAAATGCTCAGCAAATACGGGTACTCCCACTGATAGGGCATGGCCACCTGATCATGTGACAGGAGCCTCAGGTGTCCCACGCTCATCTTGGCAACCAGCAGCAGCCATATGACCAGATGTATGTAGATCAGCTTCTTGATTTCATACTTGAGGGTCACGCTGTGGGGCAGAGCAGAGGGAGAAGTACCTTTCAAATTTTTCTGACCACCAACTATACGCACAGCAACTGTATTGCACACTGGGATACAAATTTGAGTAAGACAGCCCAGATACTAGGTACAAGAACAGAGGAGGAAAAAATAATTAGAAAAGGAACAGAAACAGCTCTAGTAAATACATGTTCCAAGATATATGGGATCACAAGAAGGAGGAATCAATTCTGCTTGGGATGGATTGTCAGAGAAGGCTACCTAGAGGAGAGTGACACCTGAGCTAGGCTCTGAGGGATGAGTGAAGATGGGCATTCCATGCAGAGATAACAGCATGCAGGCAAAAAGGCATTAAGCATTTATGTTCCAGGAAGCAAATGGTTGAGTGTGGCAAGAACGCATTGTGGGGAAAGGGGAGTAGAGGGATATGAAGTTACAAAGACTATGAAAGAGGCAGTTTAAAGGCAGAAGAGTAACTCTGTGTTTAGAAAGATGACTTTGCACCATAGGAGTACAGCCCGGAGGGAGAAAGGTACTGGCAATGAGGAAAGGAGCTCATGCTGCCCCTACTTCTCCAGCTAAACTTTTCATCTAAAGGAAGCACATATCTCTCTTACTCTTCTAATTCTCTCAGTTTCCAAAGTATCTTCTTCATACCCCCAAGGGCAATGTTTCTGCTCTGGGCAGGCATGAAAACACCTTCTTGGGTTGTGAGGCTCTCTTAAGTAGGGGCCTAAAGATGAGAATGAAGTGAGAGTCCAAAGAGCTTGTCATTCTTCAAAACTATAGAGAGAAGGATGTGAAGAACATTCTCGGAGAGTTCAACGGATTTAAGGAAGTAAAATCTTTTTGAATTTTTATTGTAAAATATTTGTTACAGAAAATGTGGAAAAAGCAGGAAAAAATAATCAGTCATCTCTAGACCTCAAGCTCAATGAAGGCAGGTAACAGTTTTGCTTTTTGTTTCGTTTTTTAATAAATTTTTTTATTGAAAATATAACATGCACTCAAAGACCAGGTCTGTTTTTTGCTCTTAGAGCCTCAGTGTCTTACACGATGCACCATGGGTAGAAGCTCAAGAAGTATTTGTCGAACAAATAATTGAATGTAGAAATATCCCTCACATGGGAGTGTTTATAAAATTCGTGCTAGCCAGGGAAAGGCTGCCTTTTACCCTCCACATCCCCCCAAACGGACCAAAATATAACAGCTACCATGTATTATGTGGTAAGCCTCAAGCTATCTTCTTCACCAAAACCTAAAAGGTAGATTATTTTCTCCTTCTGCAGATGAGGAAACTGAGGCTCAATTAGAAATCAGGTTTCCAAGCTGACAGAGCGGGGCCAGCACCGATGTGACTCCAGAGCCCACGCGGGGCTGGAACCCCTCAAGGCAACCAATTGAATAAAGGGGTGGCGCTCGCGAGGGCGACGGGGCTTCCCAGGACGGGAGACAGGCCCGAGGCCCGCACCGGAGGAGGGGACTTGCCAGGTGTGCGGGACTGGCTGGGGAGAAAGACCCTGAGGCTGGGCCGTCGTCTCTCCCGCCAGGGAGGAGGCCTCCGTACTCCTCGCTTCGCTTCATACCTCATCTGGTAGTGCATGGCGACGCGCTCCCGGTGCTGAAAGTCGCTGCCGTCGGTGCCGGCCGCACGCGGGCCTGCCCGAGATGCCATTGTAACCGCCCAGAACCCCGGATCCCCTCACGCGACCGCTACAACAGCGCCAAGCCGCGGGGGAACGCTATTCGCACCGCCCCAGCTCCGCCACCCAACAGCCGCGCAGCTCTCCGAAGAGGACTTCCGGCTTCTCTGTCTCGGGAGGACCGACTCGGTGGTCACTCCTCCGCGCGCACGCGCCCCGGCTCTCTCTCGGCCCCGCCCCACCCCGGCGGAGCGGAGCGCGCAGGAAGTTAGTCCCCAGCCTTGGCTGCTTTTTACTGTCTACCGGAAGGCTTCTTGAACGCTGTCAATTTCTTAAGCTCTAATATGAGTCCAAGACACCGCTGTCCCCGCTTCACAGAAGGGAAAACTGCTCTTTGGAGCACACATCATTCACACAGTTTATCCACTTTCTCCCCTAGGTCACTTAATCATTGTTAAAAGAAACGGGTAACTTTTCATTGAGGAAACCTGGTGCCTCCCCCTTCATTAAGTAGTCAAAGTTAACCTGACCGCTAATGAGACAAACTGACACCCTAGGACTCTCGACGCGCTGAGGACAGAGCATCACTTCTGCGGTATCTCTGCCAAAAATACTTAACCTGAATGTAACCATGAAGAAATGACAGACAAACCCAAACTGAGGGACATTCTACAAGATAGCTGGACTGTACTCTTCAAAAATGTCAAGGCCATGAAAGAAAAAGAAATTATTCCCAAATAAAACGTTATGTCATCTGTAGAGACAGAGTAGAACGATGGTTACCAGGGGCTGGCGGGGCTGGGGCAGCGACTGGGGAATTACTGTTGAATGGGCACAGAGTTTCAGTTTGGGAGGATGAGGAAAGCCTTGGAGACGGGAGGTGGTGCTGGTTGCACAACGATAAGCATGTGCTTAATGCCACTGAACTGTACCCTTAAAAAGGATTAAGATGGTAAATTTGATGTTATGTACATTTTACCACAATAAAAAATAAAACTTTAAGGAAGTTATGTTATCTGAAAAAAGAAAGAAAAAAACATGTACTGAACATCCTATACGGACCAGTGTACTATACTGTGTCCCCAGTATACCTGGGGACACAGAATGAAACAGACATGGTCCCTGTCTCTTGAGGGATCACAGCCCAGTGGGGGGAAGAACTTAGACCCGTGAAGCTGTGAAATAGGGTGGTCAGTGCCATGAGGAGAAAGTACAGGAGGCTGAGGGAGCAAAGAGAAGGCACCTCTCCCCCACTTTGAGGGTTAGGAAGGCTCCCCAGAGTGGCAGCATCTAAGCTGAGGCCTGAAGCCTGAGTAGGAATTAGCTGGAGTAAAGAGGTAGGCAGGGGAAGAGTATTTCAGGCAGAAGGAACTGAAGCTGTGAAGGCCCAGAATCCAGAGAGCACTTGGCTGTTTAAAGAGCTAAAAAACTTCAGAGCGACTGGAGTATTTGAAGGCCACAATAAAGAGGTAAGGCTTGGTCAGGCATGGTGGCTCACTCCTGTAATCCCACCCTTTGGGAGGCCAAGGCAGGAGGCTTGCTTGAGCCCAGGAGTTCCAGACCAGCCTGGACAACAAAGTGAGATCCCATCTCTAAAAAACAAAAAAAAAATACATTTTAAAAATTAGCCAGGTGTGGCGGCACATGCCTGTAGTGCCAGCTACATGGGAGGCTGAAGCAGGAGGATCACTTGAGCCCAGGAGTTCAAGGTCACAGTGAGCTATGATCATGTCACTGTACTCTAGCCTGGGAAAGATAGTGAGACCCCATCTCTAAAAAAAAAAAAAAAAA